TGTGCTGTGAGTTTACAAAACAGGGAGGACGGACAGGTCAAGGGGGCGGGATGAGGTTAGTAGGTAGGAGATGGGGGTGGGACTTGAGGTAGGAGGAGGGGATAGGTGGGAGGAAGGACAGGTTAGGGAGGCGGGGACGAGCTGGACTGTTTTTGGGATGCGGTAGGGGGAGGGGAGATTTTGAAGCTTGTGAAATCCACATTGATACCATTGGGCTGCAGGGTTCCCAAGCGGAATATGGGGTGCTGTTCCTGCAACCTTCGGGTGGCATCGTTGTTGCACTGCAGGAGGCCCAGGATGGACATGTCGTCTGAGGAATGGGAGGGGGAGTTGAAATGGTTCGCGACTGGGAGGTGCAGTTGTTTATTGCGAACCGAGCGTAGGTGTTCTGCAAAGCGGTCCCCCAGGAAGAGGTGACATTTTAGGTCAGACACACACACTCTCTCTCTCAAACACACGCACATGTGAATCTATTGGGTGAATTTGTATTTGCTGATACATTCTATTTTGTTCAAAAAGCACACAATTTATAGACAGTCAGTTAATGTGGTGTTTTATAAATTCCTACTTTAGAAATAAAACCAGTCTGAGTCCAAACCAAAACACAACCAGATTCTAAACAAGGCCTCACACCTAACATGCATTGTCTGACCTAAAATGTCACCTCTTCTTTACACTGATAAAACCTTTAGTTCTCTCAGGACAGTGACTTCAAAGGAATTTGGGGATTTACATATACATATTAATCAATTAAAACCTTCTAACTAATTAAAGATTTAACAGCATCTTAGGTTTGTTCAGTACATCCTCATCTGTGGTGTGACCCTTTGATCTTTTACTTATAAATTCTGTGTTCGATACCACCTCAATAACACCTGAAGAAGGAGTAAGACTCCGAAAGCTTGTGTTTTCAAATAAACCTGTTGGACTATAACCTTTTCTGAAGAAGGGTCTAGGCCCGAAACGTCAGCTTTCCTGCTCCTCTGATGCTGCTTGGCCTGCTGTGTTCATCCAGCTCTACACCTTGTTATCTCGGACTATAACCTGATGTCGTGTGATTTCTGATACTGTGCCAACGTGACAATTGCCTGTACAAATTTGTAGTCACAGAGTAGAGTCCAATAGACAACAGGCAATAAGCTGAGTCCAATAAAATGAGAGATGGTGCTCATGTCCCATACACCCTCCCCTCTTGATTAAACCTCAGCCCACTCCCTACCTCACATCTTTCAAAAACAACCAAAGACGTCTCTCTTAAAGTAAGTGAACCTTACAAAAGCTCCAATTAATTCGATCGAAAATACTGAAACAGAAATTGTTAAATCAAATTGGTTTCCGTCACTTGTTCACCCTCGAGACTCCAGATCAAAAAACAAACTCAACCTGCCCCCAATCAATAAAGACAAAGACTGATCTTCAGCAGAGTATGATTGATATTCTCGCCAGTACCTGAACAAAATCCTGTTGCCAGAATTAAATTGCCGCAGAGCAACGGAAAGTGACGCTATGATGAATGCTGTGTTTGAACGTTAATGTTTTGTTTTTCCGTGCAGTTAAGTTGGGAGTCACACAGCCTGGCCCGAAACTGCTGAGTGCTAACAACTCCCAAGTTGTCAATTAGTTGTGACATCACATTACAAACCTGCGCAGCAACACATACTGTACAAAGGCCACCAAATCAGCTCCTGTGCTGTTTATAAGCCTGCTCCCAACTGTGTTCCACAAATTACACCACCATTTGTTCAATGCATGGACCAGGGATAGGAAGAAAATGCTACTGACCCTTCGAGCACAGCCAGATGCCACTCAGCCCATCTGTCTATACTGACTCTTTGCTAAAATACTTCAAAACCAATCCCATTGGCCTGCTCTCTCCCTCCATCTCCAATACTTATTCAAGAGTTTCCTGTCCTTAATTTCAATAGCCTCACTCCTGTTTCCAAAGCCTCAATGACTTCACCCCTCCCCATTCTTTAATTCTCCAAGATCTCTGTGCTCCTCTTGTGCAGCTCCAATTGTAATCACTCCACCATTGGTGGCTATGCCTTCAGCTGCCTGGGCCCCAGGCTCTGGATTTCCCTCCTTAGATCTCTCCACCTCCCTATGTCTCTCTTCTATCCGTTAAGAGTTTCTTACAATCTAGTTTGTTAACCCCAAGCTTTTGGTCATTCATAGTTCATAGAATCCCTACAGTGTGGAAACAGGCCCTTCGGCCCAACAAGTCCACACTGATCATCACAGCATCCCACCCAGACCCATCCCCCTAATCTACACATCCCTGGACACTGGGCAATTTAGCATGGCCAATCCACCTAGCCTGCACATCTTTGGACTGTGGGAGGAAACCGGAGCACCCGGAGGAAACCCACGCTGACACAGGGAGAATGTGCAAACTCCACACAGACAGTCGCCCGTGGGTGGAATCGAATCCGGGACCCTGGTGCTGTGAGGCAGCAGTGCTAACCACTGAGCCACCGTATGTGTCTCAGTGTCAGACTCTGATGTGGTGAAGATTCTTGGGGCATTTCATTAAAGGCAGTATATAAATTTTTTTATTCACTTACAGAATGTGGGCATCACTGGCCAGGCCAGCAATCATTACCCAGAGGTCATTTAGGAGTCAACCACATTGCTGTGGGTCTGGAGTCACATGTAGGTCAGACCAGGTAAGGATGGCAGTTTCCTTCCCTAACGGACCACATGGGTTTTTCCGACAATTGACAATAGTCTCAGGGTCACCATTAGATACTTAATTCCAGATCCTTTATTGAATTTGCCATTTGCCATGGTGGGATTTGAACTCAGATCCCCAGAACATTAGAGACAACAAGGTGCAGAGCTGGATGAACACAGCAGGCCAAGCAGCATCATAGGAGCAGGAAGGCTGACGTTTCGGGCCTAGACCCTGAAGGGTTGTTGTCTCGGAATCTCCAACATCTGCAGTTCCTACTACCCCTCTCCCCAGAACATTAGCTGGGTCTCTGGATCTAATGATAATACCACTAGGCCATTGTCTCTGCTAAAGTGAGTATGAGTTGTCGTTGCTCCATTTAAAGCCCATCTCTTCGGCCAAACCTCTCTCAACTCTACTACAAATGACAGGCAGCAGTTAACACTGAAGGATCGTGTGGGACAGTCCAAAGTCCCAGGTCATAGCTGAGGTCTGTACTGGTTACTTTTAAACAGTCTTCATGACTGAAAATGTTATGGAGTTACTAATTCTTTCAAACGGAGGGGATGCCGGAACTGAATGTATAAACACGGAATAGGCCATTCAGCCCCTTGAGGCCAGTCTTTCATTCAATAAAACCCTGGCCTAGAGATAAAGAGAAGGTGGCAGCAGTGGAGAAGGGAGCAAGAGTTGGGAGGGGGAGGAAGAGAGAGCGAGAGAGAGAGATGGAGGAATGAAGAAATAGAGAGAAAAAGAAAGGCAGAAAGAGATGGGTAACAATAAAGAAAGGGGAGAAAGAGAATGATAATGAGAAAGAATCGCACACATATCCTTAGATGCAGAAGGAGGCCATTTGATCCATCCAGGCTTCACCAGCCCTTCATACGAGCATCGGTACCTAGTGTCAAACTCCCGCCTTCCCTCTTTGGGGAAAGGTGAAAGGGAGACTGAGGAAGGGCAGGAGAAAGTACACGTAAAAGAGAGAGAAATACAAATAGGTGGAGCGGAGGGAGAGGGAAGTGGGGAGTTGTGGGGGGGAAGCCTGTTGCGGTCTCACAGTTTGGTGAGATTTGTTCCTGCATCCAGTCACAGACAGGGAGTGTTGTGACAAGCTGAGATTGATTTACTGAACATTCCTGAGGCCAAACCAACGCAAGCTGATGGGTTTCTTTAAAATTATTAGTTGACCGACAGTGCCCCCCGGTGTCAGGATTCACAGCATCACCACAAGGACCAGGCCTCTCCAGCCCATTCATTGATAGCTAATCTGACAAATAGGCTGATCAGTGACAATTTAACAAAAGGCGAGTTTATTTTGATTTACGTACCGTTGGTACTCCCTGCAGCTGACATTCTGGGGCTGTTTCAGTGTGTGTGGGGGGGGGGGGGGGGGGGGGGTGGTGCTGGGCAATGGGAATGTGGGAATTTAGTGATTATGAAGGGGCGGGAGGAGCCCAGAAATTCATGATTCGCCCGCAACAGTCTTTCCTCATTGTCACAGAAACATACAGGAGCTAGATTAGGC